CTCCCTGAAATCTCTGAAGTAGCAGAATTCTCAGACGACATGGTAAACACAAGGTTTTTCGATCTAAACTTTCAACTTAGGATCCCTCCTTATATCGACAAAAGCTCCACACACAACAATTCAGTTCTAGACTTAATCTGAGCACAAAAAACAGCACCAATTTCCAAAGAAAAACTATGACGAGACTGATTTTCAGATCTGCAAGAAGGACAGTCCCAGCCTACTGGTTTTGCAGTAAGTTTCACCACAACATTAATCAATAAGAGAGATCCTAMCACACATGAAATCAGACTAACGAGCAGAGAAAACAAGTCATCTGTGACCTACAATCACCTTTTCACAGGTACAGGATCACACGATCCAACAAATAAAAGAGGTATAACMCTCACAAAAGTYTGCCGACATTCAGTGGTTTGGATTCATTTGTTCTCCACTTGGTACACGACCAAGGAAAGAAATAAAAGAAGAAAGAAAACTTTAGGGTTGTACCAGTTGCAGATCTGATTTGATCAGCCCATATTCAATCCTCTGTTCCACCCAGATTCAGCAACTTGAAGAGAAAACTTGGTTGCCTAGATTCAACAGCCTTGCTCTGATACCATCTTGGCAATAAATCCGATTGAAATATGAGGAAGTAGAGAAGAGAAGGGAAGAAGAGAGAAGAGAAGAAGAAAGAAAGGAAGAAGAAAAGGTTTGGAGCAATGGARCARTWCTGGYGRYRCCAGCTTCTATTATATTATATAGGGCGGCAGAAATAAGAAGGGAAAAGACTCTTGTGCCCCTGCTGTAAGTGAGTACAATAACAGAAAATAAAAAAAAGGCTTTAAATAGCCAAACAGACCCTAACACAAATAACTAAATTATTTCAACAGAGCCCAAGCCAACCTTGCCATAACCTTTTGCATTGAGCTAGAAGCCACTAAAGACCAATTCCTCCAAATATCATCAAATGTGAAATTTTTGAATAGTTCCACCGTTTGTAGCCAGTGTATAACCCTAGTCATTACACACTCCACAATTTTTTGTTTGCTCCTTTCTTTCTCTTGGAAGATTATGTCATTTCTCTCTTCCCACAAGGTCCACACCACTGTTGCTCTAGTGTACCTCCACATTACTCTTCCCCTCTTCTTCGGTAACACAAAGGTAGATGGGTCAAACAGCATTTTTATCTCCGTTGGCATATTCCTCCTGGACCCAAACAAAGAGAAAAACCAATCCCATATATTTGTAGCAAAAGAATAGGAAATTAGTAAATGGTAACAAGATTCACCATCAGATTTGCATAGAGTGCCACCAGATCAGGGAAATACACAGAAAAGGCCTCTTCTTTTGCAAATAATCCAGAGTGTTAATTTTCCCAAGAGCCACTTCCCACCAGAAGGACTGAATTTTAGGGGGAATCACCGTAAACCACACTTCTTTCCAAGGAAAGGACAGAGAGG